GGATGATATGGTGTGGTCGGTCGGCGCCCTCGAGGCATCGATCCCTGCCCCGCGGGCAGTCCGCACGTCCCCCGACCCGCGCTGTTACTTACGTCCCCCGGGGCCCGAAAGAGGACCCGCGGAAGCCCAAACGCGGGACAGCGCCGTCGTCGTCGTCGTCGTCGTCGTCGTCGTCGTCGTCGTCGTCGTCGTCGTCGTCCCCAGCGTATCCTTGGTGGCCCATCCGCCCGATGTTTGGGAAGCCGCCCTTTGTCGAGCCGTGACCCCTCTGCCAGGTCGGGCGAACGGGGCCGCTCGGGGGAAAGGGTGAGAGGTAGCGAAATGTGCTGCTGCTCGCAGCTGGTTTTGGCCCAGCCGGGCGCCTCTCCTCGATATGCATTGGCGCTCTCGGACGCCAGGAGGCGCGGGGAAACCCAGCTGACCACGAGACGATTCGGCCTTCCCCTCACTTCCCTGACCTTCCCTTCTCCCGAGGGAGGACAATCATACAGGTCTGGCTGGCTCCTCCCTCCTCCCTTCTCCCGGGGAGGAGGAGGAGGAGGAGGAGGAGGAGGAGGAGGAGGAGGAGGAGGAGGAGGAGGAGGATCAGAGGGGGTCTGGGGAAGGGAGAAGATAATGTGGACCTGCACACTGGGCAGCTCGACCAAGAGGCCAGCCTGTGGGCAGGTGCCCCCCTGGAAGTCCTGTATCCCCCGAGTGCCGTGGGGGCCCGCAGAAGCTTTTGGGCACCTCAGGGAGCTCGCAGCTCGTCTCGACGACGCACGTGCCCGTCAGAAGTCTCAGAGCAAGATGTTTCTCGCCTCCTCCTCCCTCCTCCTCCTCCTCCGCCTCCTCCTCCTCCTTTTCCTCCCCCTTCTCCTCCCCCTTTTCCTCCTCCCCCTGGAGTTCGACGACCCCGGCTCCCGGCGCTCCACTCTCCGCAGTGAGGAGCCCCAGAAGCTTCTGCCCGTGCCAGCTGGTGCTGGCCCTGGCGGCCGCGGCCGCCTTCCTGTGGAACGGGGCGGGGCCGCTGACGCGCAAGGAGCACTAAGGAGGCGAGGCATCAGGGCGCGGCCTCCCTCCAGCGGACTGCCGCCGAGGACGAAGTGACGGCATAGGCATAAGCTTTCGGAGGTCCCCATCGGCATAAACATAAGCTCTCGGCACAAACATAAACATGGCGCAGATTTCTTGGATCGGCACTGGAGCCCCCTTGCGGCGCCTCCGGCGCCGCCCCTGGCTTGCTCCGCGCGCCAGGGGGGGGGGGCTCCAGCGCCGATCCAATGAATCCAAGAAGAAGTCCGAATGCTTATGTTCATGATGTGCGTATTGTTCTTCGAAAGCCCCGGATACGCGCAGAGGGGGGTGGAGGGCAGGGGGGAGGGTTCTCAGAAGAACCCCCTGCTTCTTAAATGCATGTAGATGTAAGCCGGCGCCTCATCTGCAGATGTAGATGTAGATGCAGATGGGGGAGACGCGGGCCTTCTCTGTAGACGTAAGGCTGGCGCCTTCCAAGAAGCAGCCCTGCTTCTAAGATGTCTTTCCCCTTCCCCCTGCCCCCTTTCGGACGGGGCTAGGACGAGAAAAAATCCGTTCCAGAGCGTTCCATAACGCTCTCAGAGCGTTCCAGACCGCTCTGAGAAGGCTGCATCGCCCGAGACATCTTCAAGAGCCGCCGGATCTCAGAGATGTCCGATTTACCCTCACCCGATGTCATCCTCGTCCTGGCTTCGTCGTACTTCCCCCGCTCCCCCTGCCCCCCCTCTGCGCGCGGCCAGCGAATGCTCCTGCTCGTGCCGTGTGCTTCGTTCCTCGCAGGGCGAGGGCATCGGCAGGGGAGCCAGGCCTCCCCCAGGCCTCCCGCAGAGCCTGGGGGCGGCCCCTGCATTTACGGGGTGGTGGCCGGCGAGGGGCCAAGCATCGCTCGGCCGTGTGCATTTCTGCGAAGACCTCGAGGAGCATCTCTGATCATCTTGCGACAGATAAGCGCACGAAGTCGAAGGATGCATGGGGAATGGCCGTCCGAGCGATGGCGAGGGGGTTCCGGCTCTTCGAGAGGGTCTCAGGGAGGGCAGGGGCCTGCTCGGGGGTCCTCGTCGCCACCGCTGGATTCGCCTCGAAATTCTGGCTGGTTTCCCCACAGGCCCTCTGAGAAGCCCGCCCCTGCTTCTAAGGAGGGCCAGGGGCCTTCTCAGAAGGGCCACGGGCAGCTGGCCTCCAAGCCCCTCTGGGAGGGTCTTGGAGGGCATGGGGCATGCTCGGAGCGCCACGGAGGCTTCCGAGGAGGGCTCTTAGAAGGTGGCTTTGGATGGGTTGCTCAAGATGGTGGCGTGCCAGAAAAGGCTCTTGTCCTCGAGGATCGAAGGGGTTGCCATCTCTTCTTCGACGGAAGAGCGGCGGAAGCTCGCGGAAGTAAAACGAGGCCGCCTCCGCCGGCGGAAGCCAGCGAAAGGCCAGCAGAAGCCGGCGAAAGTAAAAGATGCGCCACCAAGAGATGACAACATGTTTGGGGTCTAGGGTTTCCGGAACCCGCGTTATTTACATTCGTGCCCTCGCATTTGACGTGGACTCGTGGCGGTGTTGTCCATCCTTCTACAGAGGTTCGTGGTCTTCCTCGTCATCTTGAAAGGAGCGCCGCTTACATTCAATTCAATTAGATAGAAGCGTGGTTTTCGGGTTGCCCACGATGCAGCCCAATATGGAGAATTGCATGGCATACGCGCCATGCGAGTATTGCATTATGGAGTCGCTCGCATGAAGTATGTGGTGTTGATCGCACACCATATGTCCCTCAACATTGATTGATATAGTCGTATCCCTCCCTCCTGCGCACCAGTGTTTGCGACATGCTGCACTGTTGAGAGTAACGAAGACAGCGTGGCACGTATGCCACGCTCGATCATGTTTTGGGCAGCCATTGGGGCAAGCCTGTAATCATGTCTTTGACACAGACTCAGTCGGTGTCGGCTACGCTACCTTCAATCACACATCATCATCGCCTCCGTTATTTCCCTCCTCCACCTCCGTCTCAGTCTCATCTGTATTCCTCTTCGTCGTCCTCCCTTTCGGTCGCCTGTACTTCCCTCCGTTTCCCTGCACATCCGCTGTCTGTTTCAGCTTGCCTACGTGGGCGAACCAATATCGAAGACCCTTTAACTATAGAGAAGGATGAGCTTACGCGAACTTCATGTGTAGCCCATTACACTTCCGATTTCTACCAGGTTCAGCTTATGGTTCCAAGTGTGGTTCTACCCTTGGTGATTGAATTATGTGTCGACAGCGCTTCTTTCAACCGTCATCTGCTTGGAGCTGGAGCAGTTCACACTCGTCCTGAGGTGAGGTCTCTCGGGGGGGGGGAAGAAGCACCCCTGTTTTTTTTGAGGAAGCCACGCTGCCTGCGTAGAAGCCTCCCTCTTCTCGCGTCATGCCCGCTTGGGCGCCGCCAACACTGGCCCCGATACAGTCACAGGGGGCAGATTGGATCTAGTCATTGCCATCATCCCCCTTCTCCCCCATCCGTCCTTCTCCTGATCTCGGTTGTGCTCCGCCTGCCCCGTGCCCTCCGTGGGTGAGGAGGCTGGCTGAATGTATTCGGTGTGGTGTCGTCTCTCCCAGACGTTTCCTTTGGCTTCGGCCTCCTTGGGGGGAGCCTTCGCTGCCTGGAAGCGCTTCGGCCTGAAGGACTGGCCTCAGAGAAGGGGTAGAGAGCTTTAGGTCCAATAGCTTGCAACCAGAGGCTTGTGCACGGCGCCGTGATTTGTTGTTCAACGTTTTCGGCGTGAGAGGGCGACGCGTGTGGGACTCTGGGCCATTACATGACGACCCGCTGCGAGAAACGTGGTCCCAGGTCCGGCAGGCTGGGGACGAATCTCAATCCGCTCGGCACGCCCCAGAGCGCGGGGGAACGGCCGTGGCGCCGGACTTATCACCCAGACACGTCAGAGACCCCCGAGGCAGCCCCTCCCACCTGTGTCTTCTTCCCTCCGTCGTCGTCCCCTGGGCCTGGAGCAGCGGAGAGCACGCGCCCGCGGCGCTTCCCTATGCCGCGGCGCCCCGAGGCCCGGCAGCGGCGGCGCGCCGATGGGGGTCAAACGTGCGGGGGGGGGGGGGGGGGCGGGCAGGGCCCCCCTCCGGGAGGGTCGGCGGGGCCGCGGAGTCCTCTCGGCGGGCCCAGAAGGCCTGCTCTGGCCCTCCCGAGTCCGGCGCTGCGAAATGGGAGGGTGGGGGGGGGAGGCGATGCGTGGAGGGTGCAGAAGAGGTGCACCTCTCGCGGGCGTGCGGGGCCCCGGCGGGGCCCCTCTGGAGCCCCGAGGGGGGCGCGAGAGGTGCGCGTGCCGTCGCCCCTCCCCCCCCCCCTTCATCCATCGCCCTCGCCCTTCTCGCCCTCGCGAAGCGACGCCTCGCCCGGGAGGCCCGCGCGCTGCTGCCTCTTCCCCCCCCTGGGCGCGCCGCCGAGGGGGAGGCTGACTATAAGAGGCCGCGTGCGAGCCCCACCCCCCCACGATCTCGAAGGGGGGGGGGGGTGGGGCTCCCTTCGCTCGGGAGGCCCCGAGCGACGTGAGCCCCGCCCCCCCCCCCCGGACCCCCGACGTCGTGAAGTTTTCCTGCCGTGGACCCCAAGCGGTCTGGACCCCTTCCCCGGGATCGGCTCTGCCTCCTGCGTCGCCGCTTGACGGCCCGGAAGGCCGGCGGGGGCACCCGGAGGCCGAACATACTTGGCGACAGTCTCCCCCGTCATGGCCTCCTCGTGGCCCGAGGGGGCCTGGGTCCCCCCCCCCTGGGCGCGCCGCCGCTGCCGGGAAGGCTGACGGGCGTGCGACGTCGCGAGCGGCTCCGCGGGAGAAAAGCCACCCTCCCTTCGCGCCGCGGCGGCCCGCGGCCGGGGTGGGCGGGGGGGGGCGGCGCCCCGGGCTCGCATCGACTGGACGTAAGAGTGACCTTTCGCCGGAGTGACCTTTGGTGCGGGCACATATGGGTCCTCAGATGGCCAAAAACGAAGCGGTAGCAGCGGCTTGCGCGCCCAGGTTTGGTCATCCCGCGCCCCCCAAAAAGCCGCGCACCAAAGGTCACCCTTACACAGGGTCACTCTTGCGTGTAGCCGATCGCAGCGCCGCGGCCGTCTCCAGCTCCGTGTGGGGTCAGGAAGAGGAGGGGAGGTATGAGGAGGGGGCACGCTGACAAACCCGATGACGACCAACGACGATGATCATCGCGCTGATGGTGATGGTATGATGGTGGCGATGGCGATGACGACGGCGACGGTTCTGATCATGATGGTGGTGATGGTTCTGCTGCTGCTGATGGTGATAACGGTGAGACGGCGCTGTTGACGTCGGCGGTGATGATGACAGTGTGTACGATGATGTTATTGATACGGATGGTAGAGGCATTTGCGATGATGTTGATGGTGATGCTGATGCTGATGCTGATGCTGATGCTGATGCTGATGATGATGATGATGATGATGATGATGATGATGATGATGATGATGATGATGATGATGGTGATGGTGATGATGGCGACGGTGAATGTTGAGGATGGTTGCGATGTTGGTGGTGGTATGTGGTGATGATAGCGATGTGGTGATATTGCGGTGATGGCGATAGCACCGACGGCAATGAAGAGACGGATTATTAGAGCAAGAGGTGGTTGAGGAAGAGGAGGGATACGTAGGAGAGAAGAGGAGGGATGCGAAGGGAGGGATGGAGGAGGAGGAGGAGGAGGAGGAGCAGGAGGAGGAGGAGGAGGAGGAAGGATGCGACAAGGGGGAGGAGGAGGAGGAGGAGGAGGAGGAGGAGGAGGAGGAGGAGGACGCGAGGATGAGGAATGCGACGGGATGCTGACGCGAGGAGGAGGAGGAGGAGGAGGAGGAGGAGGAGGAGGAGGAGGCTGGTGAGGAGGAAAGGCATGAGGAGGAAGACGAGTAGAAGGGTAAGGGTGGTAGTGGCAGAGGAAGTGGAGGAGGAGGACGGGTGTTTGGGGGTTGGGTGGGCTCACTGATAGCAAAGACTTGCCACCGAGAGCCAAGCGAGTCATGCAAATAGCATGTTTGAACGCAGGTCGTTGCAGCGACAATGTCTGCTTTCGGTGATTTGCTGCTGCTTTCTGCTTGTTTGCCACCCGGCAGGTTGGGGTTGATGGACTCCGCGAAAAGAGTGCCCGACCCGCCTCGAGTCAAGCGAGTAATGCAAAAGCATGTTTGAACGCAGGTCGGTGTAGCAACATTGCTTGCCTTCGGTGATCTGCTGCTGGTTGCTGCTTGTTTCCCACCCGGCAGGTTGGGGTTGATGGACTCAGCGGCAAGAGCTCCCGACCCGCCCCGCACACCTGGCATGCCTTGGCCGCCAGGCTCCCAGGGTCCCGGTGCTTCCTCTTTTGTATCCCGCCTCGCGACCTTGACGAATGGCGACTGCATGCCGCGGCCGCAACGCCCCAAGGGGCCCCTCTGCGTCCTGCGGATCCTTCCTCCTCCTCTTCCTCCTCCTCCTCCCCCTCCTCCTCCTTCTCCTCCTCCCCCTCCTAGTCGGCGCGAGGGTTTGGACCCACTCGCGCAAGCTGACTGCCGACTGCATCAGGTCTAAAAAAAACGTCCGGCGGCCAGGGGGGTGAGAGGGCCTGGAGGCTGATTGGATCCGAACCTCCTTGACTTTCCAGAGCAGCACATTCCGATACCGTACCTCCTTTCGGCATTTCGCGCATGGGCTTTTTAATCGCGCCGAGATTTGCGACGTCGAGCCGATCGCGGAAAGGTGTCCGAATAATTGGCTTGAATGAATTGGTCGGGACAGAAGTATATATTAAGACAAATAAGCCAGCAATTCTTCCACCCACCTTGCACGGAGTGACGAAAGAGAGCGAAGAAACACCAAAGACTTATTATTGCATGTGTATGCATATTTTTAATATCGCGCACGATGGGGTACATGCTGCAGTAACGGGGCAGATCAGCAATGGTGAGAATTGGTATGCATGTGTATGGTGTTGTAAATGTACTGGAGAGAGAGAAGAAGAGAGTTTTGCATATATTGACGCGGAAGATGTTTGGGAAGTTGCACGCGTATTTAATCTTATTTGACAAGTTACGATTCTCCGCCAGAAAGCAGGTGGCCCAACGTGGTCAACATGGTCAGCTGCTGAATCGCAAATATCAAGTCTTGAATATAAGGAATAACGCGAAACTTCGCGGATATCAGATCGATACTTCAATGTCAAGGCGAAGCGGTGGAAATGCACGAAGCTGTTGAATCATGGATGGGCATTGGGGTTGTAGAAACGGTGGGATTCCTACGACCTGAGGAGGTCATAACAACACGCAGTCGCTGAAACTGGTCATGTTTCATGGTGGCAGAAACACGGAACATACTATCCCATCCGCAGCGCGTATTTGGTGCGTTGCTAATCTGTAGTTTGTTCAGATTTGCTTGCGCAGCGGAGTTGTTCCCGAGTGCTTCCGTGTTCGGATCGATTGTAGCAGGCCCTCTTGGGGAGTGTTTCGCGAGGACTCAACCTCGCCAGACACCTGCACCCCGAGTCTCTGTCACTGCCACGGGGAGACGTCGACCCCCTCCGCGGGGCCACCCTGCATGGCTCGCCCCGGAGGGGGAGTGAGGGAGGGAGCGGGGGGGAGGCAGGGAACCCACAAGGTCGTCTTGGCAGGCCGCGGGCTCATGTTTGTGTTAGATCTTCGTCCTTGCTTTCGCTTGTCCAAGCAGGGATGCCCGAAGGTGCCAAGCGGTCGTGTTGCTTCTGCTGCGGATCATCTCCCCGAGCGCCGCGCCCTTGTCCTTGTCTTCCTCCTCCTCCTCCTCCTTCTCCTCCTCCTCCTTGTCCTCCTCCCCCTCCTCCTCCTCATCCTCTTCCTCCTCCCTCCTCAAGCCGAACAGCTTGCTGCTGGCTTCCGCTTTCTCCCCGTCGGTGCCGGGAAGAAGCGCGCCCCCCAGGCTGCGGCCAGTCGGCGCACCGCGAGGAGGCGCACGCGCACGCGCAGGCGACGTTCGTGGGCGACTTCTGAGGAACTGGCGCGCCCCGTCGCTGGGCTCGGGTGGGTGGGGAGGTTGGGCGTGAATTCATGGGAGGGGCGATCAATGGGGTGGGAAGAAGGGTGCCCTCTTCGGTCCCTGAAAGCTCCCTCTGGGGCCGTGCCGGGGCCTTCTGGGGCCGTGAAGGGCCCTTTTTCTGCAGCCCGCGTTGCTCCCCCCATGGATCGCCCCCCCCCCCCCATGACTTCGCGCCCAGGGGCAGCAGGGTGAGCAGAAGAGGATGTATCCGACGGAGGAGGAGGCAGCGGAAGGCGGAGAAGCGGAGGGAGGGAGGGATGAGGGAAGGTCGGGAGGGAGAAGGGGGATGGAGGAAGGTTGGAGGGAGGGAGGGAGGGACGGAGGAGGATAAGGAAGCAGAGGACGGTGTGCTTGAAATTCGCTGCGGGGGGCCAATCTAAGACGCGGCCGCTTTGTCGGCTAGCAGCTGGTCCCCTGGCTCCACCAGAGGCGCGGCAGACGCCGACGCGGACTCCTCGCACGCAGCCCCAGAGTGGGGAGGAGGAGGAGGGACAACGGAGAGAGGAGCCTCGACTAGTGTTGCTGGCTTGCTTCTTTTCCAGTTCCTGTTGGGGTTCAGCTGTAGTCGCGAAGGGGAAGGGGGCACCTAAGATAACCTCGCTACCCCGTATGTAGCTTTTTGATTTCCCTTTGAGCACGCGGATCCACTTGGAGTTCGCTCTAGCAGAAACCTTGGGGGGCTCCAGCCCCTGCGCCGCGTCTTCCTCAAAGTAGTTGCCGCGGGCACAGCATATCGTTAGAATGCCGATAGAGTGTTCTGTCACGGAAACGGAGTAAGCACGCTGGTTATTACATAATCTCCGCAGATCATTCGATACGCCGTTGCACCCTGCATCAGGAGGAGGGGATGTGGCAGGGACCGAGAAAGACTCAAATTTGCCTAGTTCTGGTGTTACGGCGTTGGTGATGCGGACACGTCCAGTATCTTTCTGGGCGCCACCTCCATTCCTGGAAGTTGGGGCCGTCTCCAACGGCCTGCTTTGAATTTGGTGAAGGGGGGAAGGTTCGTTGCCTGCGTCTGCGCCAGAACCTGCCCCAAGAGTCCTGAACTTCTGTGGCATGCAATGAGGTCCGCAGGTCCTGGGATATCACGAGCGAAACCTGCACCCTTTGAGGAGGGCTGGGGGCATGAGCGAACTTGCGGGGTACAAACTGCAAGAACTGCCAAGAGCTTTGCTCTGGGTGTCCCAACTCTCAACCTACGAGTTGCTGAGGCCGCTACGCTAACTAACGCCTATTCCGCCTAGTCCTCTGGACGTTGTACCACTCACGTCGGGCGGGGCTAGGACGAGGATGGCTCCGTTCCCGAGCTTTCCGGAGCGCTCTCAGAGCGTTCCGGAACACTCTGAGAGTGCAACGGCGCTCGATGCATCCCTCAGAGCCGCCAAATCTCATAGATTTTCTATTAATCCTCACCTCTATCTATCCTCGTCCTGGCTTCGTCTTACGGCGGCGTCTCCGGCCCAGTCTTGTTGGCCACGCGGACTCGGCCTGTCTGGCCCCTCTCGAGGGTTGCTAAAGGTGCCCCTGGCCCAGTGTGCCCCCAGCTTTTCGTTGGATCTTGGAGCCCCTGGGTCCCTCTGGACCTCGGGAGGGGTGCTCTGGAGGCCGTGGAGGCTTGCTTGGAAATCCTGGGGGCACCTTGGGCCAGAGGCACGCCCAGCGACACCTGCTTGTTGCTTCACGGCGCGGCAGAGGCAGTCCGCACGCGCGCTCGGGCAAGCCGGGCGGCGGCAATGCGAATTGCCCGGGTGCAGGTGGGGAGCGAAGGGGGAAGTCAAGCAGT